CTTGGAGCAACCTGGTCTGGTGGAAGGGGTCCCTGCCCATGGCAGAGGGGTTGGAACGAGATGATCTGTAAGGTCCCTTCCAACCCAAATCGTTCTATGGTTCCCTTTGTCTCTCCCCAACTTGTCTACTACAGCTGTGTTGACCCCTTCTTAAATGCCATGAGTCATCAGGCAAGACATCTCACCCCTGCACGGGCGAGAGATACTGTACAGTTGACTGATGGTTTATGAGCATGTTCACCCATAATGCTCCAATGTTTTCCTGCAGCCATCGTGGATATTGTGCTGTCACAGACATGCGGCATAATCCTCGTGGGAGACCCTCACCAGCAGATCTATACCTTCCGTGGCGCTGTCAATACCCTCTACTCAGTGCCTCACACACATGTCTACTACCTCACCCAGGTAAGATGAGGGTCTCCTGCTGTCCTTCCCTGGACAGATCCCTAACAGCCTCAAGTTGCGTCCAGGGAGGTTTAGATTTCAGATTAGGAAAAATTTCTTTACTGAAAGAGTGGTCAGGCATTGGCCCAGGCTGCCCAGGGCAGTGGTGGATTCTCCATCCCTGGAGGGGTTCAAAAAACATGTGGATATGGCACTTCAGGACATGATTTAGCAGGCATGGTGGTATTGGGTTGATGGTTGGACTTGCTGATCTCACAGGTCTTTTCCAACCTGAATAATTCTGTGATTCTAAGGAGCAACCCCCAGCCCTGCTCTGCTGCTCTGGACCATCATCTCCCCAGCAGCCCAGCCAAGTGAGGGACGTGGCTGCTTTCCCACCGCCTCTAGCCCCTGCCCTGCTGCAGGACAGACGTGTCATGTTGCATTAACTTGCTGGGGAAGAGTCTTGGCGGTGGCAGCTGTTGCGTGGAGAGGCTGGAAACCACGTTTTGCCCTGTTTGACAGTTCCCATCTCACAGCACAGTTCCTATCACCTTGGGTGTAAGAGTGATCAGGGTTTCTAGGAATAGTTTGGGAGATTTTGGGTGCTTTTCCTAAGAGAAACGTTGTCCAGAAGGTTGGTGGGAATTGTATAGTTCCATATATAGTAATACTTTTGTAGGTTATAACAAGTTCCTCTTCTTTTCCTGCTGTTTCCCTCTTTTTTCCCACGTAGAGTTTCAGATTTGGTCCTGAAATAGCTTACGTTGGAGCAACCATCCTGGATGTCTGCAAGAGGATCAGGAATAAGACGTTAGTGGGTGGAAACCAAAAAGGTGAGTCGTGTCGGTGACCCACTCGGCTCAGTCAGCTCCGTTCCGTGACTGGGAGCCACAGAGCTGCCACATAATAAACAAAGTGTTTCAGGATTGATTCCGATTTATGAAGATCTTTGGGTTTTAGGTACTGCCCTGGCTAACTGGGAATTTCTTCATGCAGGTGATGTGAGAGGCGGCATGGGAGGGAAGATAACAGTCTTATCACGAAGCAATTTTAATGTGTTCGAGGATGCTGTGAAACTTACTGGAAGAGAGAGGCCAATTAAAATACACGTGATCGGGGTAAGAGGAAATTGCCAATGCGTCTTTCACGTCCCAGCCTGAAGTCCCCAAGCCTGTTAGCACTTGTAGCGACGACAACCCACGAGTGTCTTGAAATACGTGCGGCTGATCTGCCGTCGTCTGGAGCACCAGGGTTTAATATTCAAGCAGCAATCTGTTGTGGCTGGGGAAGGGTTATTTGGAGCAGCTGTTCCTCAGATCTGCGCAGGCAAGGCTCCCTTTTTAGGCTCATTCGTCCCTTTTTTTCATGATGAGATGGCAGCAGCTCCAGTCTGCTGGATGGGGCAGGGGAAGAGTGATGGATGGCTGTAACAAGTCGCTGCAAGTATTTGCATTAGATGGAGAGCTGCTGCCTGCCTTTGGCTGCTGGCAGTGGCACAGTGTTCCTGCGTTAAGAGAAATATAAATCAGCTGTAATTGCAGGCTGGATGTAAAAAGCAATGAAAGGCAGCTGGCTGTGCCCTAAGAGAAGAAATATTTTTTGAGTGACAAAGGCAATGGTTGAAGGTGACCTTTGGGCTTGTAGACGCAATGGTGGACTGGGCTGTGCTCATTCCTAATTTCCAGTCCTGTGACGGTCTGGTCCATGTCTCGATGCGTCCAGGAAAGGCAGAGCAAATTGGTGCACCAGCCTTTTCGGTGAGGGAAGGAGGGGTTTTCAGCAGTGCTCCATGATAACCCCTCAAGGGAGCAACAGTTCTGAGGTGTGCACCAAATTTTTCTCTGCAGAAAGCACCAATGTATCCAAAAAAGACTGTGTGTGCATGCACGTCTGCAGAAATTCAGGTGCTTAAATTGCAGGGATGTTTTAATGAGGCTCCACATTTCAAAAGCCTCAGAGCAATCATTGGTCTTCAAACCCTGAATCCTCAATACCTATGACTTGAGATCTTGTTCTGCACCCAGAAAAGTAGAAGCTCAAAGACAATGAGTGGTTGTCTTAGTGCTGAACGTGCTTGAGGATGAGCGTAATCTTTTAAATTTTAGGCTGATATTTTAAGCTCTAGTCTTTTTTTCCAGTGGAAAGCTGCGTATTACAATGCAATGAGTGTTTGAACTGGCTGCCCAGTACTGAAATTCTTATCTCCATTTGCAGTTTGGAATAAGTCTGAATTCAGACTAACGCTTCTTTGGATGGAACAAAACAAACTGAATTTGGAAACAAGGAGGGGAAAAATACTTTCTGAAAGTAAAAATTGCCAAAGCAAAGCCTGATCATAGAATTGTAGAATCATAGGTTGGAAAAGACCTCTAAGATCAGCAATTCCAACCATCCACCCAACCCCACCATGCCTGCTAAACCATGTCCCCAGGTGCCACATCCACACGGTTTTTGAACCCCTCCAGGGATGGGGACTCCACCACTGCCCTGGGCAGCCTGGTTCAATGCCTGACCACTCTCTCAGCAAAGACATTTTTCCTAATACCCAATCTAAACCTCCCCTGATGCAACTTGAGGCCA